CCTCTTACCAGATCCATTGCCTGAGGTTCTGTCCAGAAAGAGGGCTCCTTTCCTCCCAGAAGCAGTCTGCCTCTGGGTTACTCGAATCCTGCCTGTGGTCTAAGAAATCACATGCCTCTTGTTTGCAGCGGGACCTTGGGCGGGGCCCTTCCACTCTCTGAACCTCTTTCCTTCTAATAATAAAAGTAGCTATCATTTTTCGAGCACAGACTTTGTGCTCCCTTATTCTCCCCCGAAATTCTCCCAGGAATGTCGTGAGGTTTAGATATTCTTTTTCTCTGCTTTCTAGAAAGCAGCCCAAGGCATAGAGGCATAAATTTCCTGAGGTCCCAGAGCCGAGAGCTGGTGAACAGGGTTTGGAACTCAGCCAGTTACACTTGGTTCCCAAGCCCGTGTTCTCAGTCCTCTTAAATTGCCCACCTGCTCTTAGACCTGAGTGTTCTTGGGGCCTTGTGAGCCTGATAGCCTGAAGCTTCTGCATACGGCAGCCAATCCTCTGGATAACTTCTCAAACTTGCCAGCCTGAAAGACTTGATAGGCTTCCTGTTGCCTTGCCCATATCCATCCCCATTTAAAGGGAGAATGAAGGCAGCAGTGCCGACAGTGTAGTTGGTAAAGCTCCGTGGCATGTCGTGTGGGCCAGTTTAGCCCACCATCTGCTTCTGCCTTCTCATGTCTGCCCTGGATCCCACTGAGTGGCCTCTCCTGATCAAGAAAGTATCGCCGTGGTTCTTCGGGATCAAAGCTGGCTTCTCTACGTGCGGGAAGGCCTTCACGGGAGTTGGGCCTAACCTGTCCCTACTCTCCTCTCTCGTCCAGGTTGTGCGTTGAGACTTGGATGCCTGCTGAGGGCAGCGCGCCTCCCTCCTGGGTGTGGATGACAGGTCCTAGGGGGAAGGGAGGGCCGCGCCGGGAAGTTCCTTCATAAACCAGTCTGTGTTCCTGTCATTTTAGATCGAACATCAGGGGGACAAGCTGGAGATGGCAAGAGAGAAACATCAGGCTTCCCAGAAGGAAAATAAACAGCTGAGTCTGAAGGTGGATGAACTGGAGAGGTTAGAGGCACTTGGTCCCATCTCTGTCCTCTTCCTAGGACCTGAGACTTTCAGCCACTTAGCTGCTTTGGGCTTGGTGTGCAGAAGTGTTTGAGGGACTCAAGGCCCTAGAAGGTACTGGGCAGACCTCAGAGGAAAAGCTGCTTGCACTGCAGTGGTAAGCATTGTGGGAGAGAGGAAGATGGTCTTTTGACTGGGGGATGCTCTGGAACAGTGTGATCAAGTCCAGACCACCCACAGGCTCCACCTACCAAAACTGCACGCTTAACCGGAGCAAACCACCAGGACCAATATGAGGCGGTGAGGGGGCATTCTGCTCCTCATTTCTGATCAGCCTTCCCCAAGACCTTTCTTTTTTCTTTTTTAAAAATTTTTAATGTTTATTTATTTTTAGAGAGAAAGAAATAGCATGTGTGGGGGAGGGGCAGAGAGAGAGGGAGACACAGGACCCCAAGCAGGCTCCAGGCTCCGAAGTTGTCAGCACAGAGAGCCCTACACGGGGCTCGAACTCACAAACTGAGATCAAGACCCGAACTGAAGTTGGTCGCTCAACCAACTGAGCCCCCCACGTGCCCCGTCCCCAAGACCTTTCTGATCTGATTCTTCTCTTTTACCTATGGACTCTTGGAGGCAGTCAGGTGAAGAGTATAGCTTTTGGAGTCAGAAGCCTTGGCCTTGGGTCCCGGCTTGGCCACTATCCTGCACTGTGATCTTGAGCAAGTCATTGAACTCTTTTGAACCTCTGTTTGCTCACCTTGAGAAAGGGATCAAGGTAGGGATAAAATCTAGCTCACGAGGTTATTGTAAGTCTTCCAGGAGATAATCCTCAAAGGCCTGAGTGTATTATCTGGCATCGAAAGACGCACCATATAGTTAGTGTATATTAGTTGCTATTATCCTAATTTTGAATGTGAGGAAACCGAGCATGGAGAGAGGCTGAGTGACTCGCCCAAGGTGACACAGCTGGTATCTGGCATCTGGCAAAGCTGCGGCATAGCCCCCCCCCCCCTTTACCCCCGATTGTCTTCCTCGAGCTCTTAGCATCTGTAAAATGAGGGCTGGAGCCTTAGTTCTGAGATGAAAGGCCTTTGGCCCTGGGACGCTCTGACTGCCCACGTGGCTCATGCAGTGGGAACTTGGGCTGGACTCCGGGCTCTACCTCTGCTCTGGTCCGCTGGCCTCCAATGTGCAGCTAGACTCAGTAGGACTTACAGCACTTTCAACTGGAAGGTAGAACATTCTGGAATTGCAGTTGGGACCACATGTGCACATCAGGAGTCACTGCAACCCCACAGTGGGTCACACAAGCGGTAGAGGGGGTACCCGCTGAAGTCCTTTTGCTGAGGGGGCAGCAGTGAGCACAAATTGAGGGCTGGGGTTATGGTGACAGACCTGCTGGCTGGGCTGACCTTGGGCCAATGACTTCAGCTCTTGGTGCCTCAGTTTCTTCATCTGTAAAGTGGGAATAGTGGTGGCGCCCACCTTCCTTGGCTGCAAGGTGCTGTGTGATGTGTGCTAACAGGCACACTCCGTCTATGCTTGCCCGCCCACTCTCCACACTGTCCTGAGCTGCCCGGGCTGCTCAGCTCACCTTGCCGATCAACAAATTTCTTTGGTTTATTTCTGTGGTTCCTTGGAGCCTCTTGGTATGATGAGAACCCTGGTCCAGGGGTGGCTGGCAGCCTCCTGGCGGGGTGGAGCAGGACAGATCGGAGTATGGGCAGGATCTGATTAAGTGCTTTCACCTAGGAAACTGGAGGCGACCAGCGCCCAGAATATCGAGTTCCTACAGGTGATTGCCAAGAGGGAGGAAGCAATCCACCAGGCCCAGCTGCGGCTAGAGGAGAAAACGCGGGAATGTGGGTCCTTGGCCAGGCAGTTGGAGAGCGCCATTGAAGATGCTAGGAGGCAGGTCAGTCTTGATTCCATTACTAGCTAGCTCTGTGACCTTGGGCCAAATCACCTGACCTCTCTGAGCCTATTTCCCCATCTAAAAAAAATGGGGACACAGTCATGGCACCTGCCTCACGAATTTGTCGTAAGGATCAAAGGAGCAATTACTGTAAAGGCTTTGGCACTTGATTCATGACCGCTCATTCAATTGCTGCCTGTGTGGGACTCAGCCAGGTTGACCACCACTTAGGTGATGACTCGGGGTGTGGGGGGGAAAGGCAGGTTCAGTGGGCTGCGGAAGTCCCTGTGCTCAGCTCCTGCCACAAGGCACCAGAGAAGCCTCCGCAGTGATGTGTGAACCAGAGCGGCAGTGGCCCAGCCTTCTCGATGCCAGGAGCCCCCCATGTCATGTAAGCCAGCCCCACCTCCGTGCCTTCTGGGCAGGTGGAACAGACCAAGGAGCATGCAGTCTCCAAGGAGCGAGCGGCCCAGAACAAAATCCTGGACCTTGAGACGCAGCTGAGCAGGACCAAAACTGAGCTCAGCCAGCTGCGGAGGAGCCGAGACGATGTGAGTCGGGTGGGGGGGGGGGGGGGGGGGGGGGGGGGGGGGGGGGGGGGGAGGGGGGAGTGGGGGGGGTGCAGAGAGAAGGGAGCAGATAGAGATTTTAGCTTCCTGGGGCTGGCGGGGCAAGGCATTTCATGGTGGTTTTTAGGACTATGACATGGTTTGATTTCTCTCAAATCACTTTCCAACCCCTTAAGGCTATCCCAGGCAGATTCCCTCCCTCCTTTTTTTTAATGAGCAGCTTTGTTAAGATACCATTTACATACCATAAAATTCACTCCTTTCGACTACACAATTCAGTGTGTTTTAGTGTATTCACAGAAGTGTGCAATTACCACCACACCCTAAGTTTAGAACATTCTCAGAAAGAAACCCCATGCCCATTGTCCTGCCCCCAGCCCCTGGCAACCCCTGGTCAAGTCTCTAGGGAGCTCTCCTGGACGTGTCGTGAACTTGACTCCCATCCTTGGACCTCCTCTTAGGCTGACCGTCGCTACCAGAGCCGGCTGCAGGACCTCAGAGATCGCCTGGAGCAGTCGGAGAGCACCAATCGCAGCATGCAGAACTACGTCCAGTTCCTCAAGTCGTCCTATGCCAACGTGTTTGGGGACAGTCCCTACACTACCTTCCTCACCAGCTCTCCCATCCGCTCCCGATCTCCTCCTACCTAAGGCCGCCGGTCTTGGGCCACGAGCCCGGATTGCTGCCACGGGAACCGCAGAGTGGCCAAGCCATAGCTGGAAGGCCTGTTGCTTTCCTCTCGCTTCCACTGACGAAGCGCGTTCAGGATCTTGTCTTAGCTACTGGTTCCAGAAAAGTCCCTGAAGCACTGGGGGGTGAAGACAGGAACCACTTAGTTTTCTCTCCTCTCTGATAGAGTCTCCTGATGGAAATGTTGAATTAGCTTGACAGGCCTTAAATCTACTGATCCTAGGGCACCAGATTTTAATTCACCATGACTTTGCTCCTTCCTTTCCTGAGCAAATGTCCAGACTGGACTTTTTCTTCCGGTCCCCTCACAGCCCTCCTCTTCTGAGGACTCTCTCTCTTGGGCTTGCCTGAGGCGAACGAGCAGGAGCTTAGCCAGAGGTCCTCACCACGCCTCCTGGGCTGTGAGCACACTCGCTATTTAAAGGGCACAGTGTTTTCCCCAAGGCCCTCCTCGCATGCCTGGTGGAAACCTCACGCCCAAGTTTCCTTGGGGCCACTCGCCCCTGAGCACTTCACAACAGACACCGCAGGGCTTGTGTCCAGTGGCCTTTTAAAAGTAGAATCCCCATCCCATTGGTTTGCGTTTCTGTTTGCCAGACTTGTATCTATGGAATGCATTTATTCTGGAAATAATGTGTGTTGTGTTTTACAGAAAGCTTTTCTAGTCAATATTTAAGGCTCCACGATTTCCTTTACCCACCCCATCCCTTTTCTAAAAATGAACTAAGGGCGATGCTGCAGGAGAGCCAGTAAATAAATACTTGGTACATGAGACAGGAGGCAAGGCTTCTCATTTCATTTTGGCCCAGGTCGGTTCTTTCTTCCCTGTGCACCTTCTTCACATCATAATCCTGCGAGATGAGTGGAGGAAACACACTTTGTGTCTGTGGGGGGTGGGGGGTGGGGGGCGCACTTCAGGAATGGATAGGATAGATGAAGATAAGAGAGGTATATATTACTATTTTAAAAATGATAGTTGGGTTCCTTTTTTTAAAGATCTTTAAATTTAAAGATTTTATTTTTAAGTAATCTCTACACCCGACGTGGGGCTCAAACTTACAACCCCAAGATCAAGAGCTGCATGCTCCTAACTACTGAACCATACAGGCGCCCGTGTTAGTTGGTTTCTGAATGGTAAGATTATGGGCTATTTTTGTGCTCTTCGCATTTTCCTATATTTAAAAGAAAGAACAGGGGCGCCTGGGTGGCTTAGTCGGTTAAGCGTCCGACTTTCGCTTGGATCATGATCTTGCGGTTCGTGGGTTCGAGCCCCGCGTCGGGCTCTGTGCTGACTGCCAGCTCAGAGCCTGGAGCCTGTTTAGTCTGTGACTCCCTCTCTCTCTGACCCTCCCCTGCTCACGCTGTCTCTCTCTCTCCTAGAAATAAATAAAACATTAAAAAAAAAAAAAAAACAACACATTCTTCAGAGAGGTGAACAAATGGGGTACTGTGCTGAACCCTAACCTTTCTGTTTCAGCTCGTATTTGCCTTCTGGGTGATGCAGTCTTGTTCTCTCCGTCTACTCTAAGTCAAGGACGAAACTCCAGAGAATTCCCCTATGTCCTCAAAAGCAATGGACCTCACACAGGCGTCTAGCGTCAGGAAACCTCCTTCCTCCCTTAAATTCTGGGAACATTTGTAGTTTCCAGCTTTTAATTTTGCCGAGGGAGAGATCACTGCAATAACAAGCATCAGCTACCACTGCCACAAAACCAAGGCTGTTTTCACAGCTTTCATGATAAATGGACTTGAACTTACAATGTATGAAAGACCTTCTCGGTGCAGCTGGGTGGCTCAGTCAAAGGTCTGACTTGGGCTCAGGTCATGATCTTCCGAGTTGTAGGTTCGAGCCCCACATGGGGCTGGCTGCTGTCAGCCTGTCAGGGCAGAGCCTAGTTCAGATCCTCTGTCCCCCTCACTCTGCCCCTTCCCCCTCACTCTGCCCCTTCCCCACTTGCACTACCCCCCCGCCCAAAAAAAAAAAGAAAGTCCTTCCCAGGAAAGGGCAGGTGGCAAACTTACACCAGTGTGGCACATATCTGTATAACTCATTTGTATTTTTGCCAAACTAATGAAAACTTCCTTCGTGCAGGGCACTGCTATTTACATCGCTGGTGGGAAACACCTCTGTTGGAGTCTATGCTGGACTCTCAACAATGCTGTATTTTTCTTTGTAAGGTTATTTTTTTTTTTTTAGAGGTCTGGGGGAGAGGGGCAGAGGGAGGGGGAGAGAGAATCCCAAGCAGGCTCCACACCATGGAGCCCAACACAAGACTCAATCCCACAACCCTGGGATCATGACCTGAGCTGAAATCAAAAACCAGATACTCAACCAACCGAGCCACACAGGCACCCCCGTGTAAAGTATTTTATTACAAACAGTCCCGAGAGTTTGTAAAAAAAATAAAAATAAAAAATTACTTAAAACTCCAGAGTGTTCTATCTCAGATCCCATAAAATTCATCCTTTTAAAGTGTATAATTCAGTCCCTTTCAGTATACTCACAAAATTGTGCAGCCATAAACTTTATCCAGTTCCAGAACATTTTCATCAACCCAAAATGAAGCCCATGGACGTTAGTAGCCACTCCCCCACTCCCCCTCCCCACAGCCCCTGACGGCCACTAACCACCAGGAGACTACAGTCTCTAAAGATATGTTATTCTGGACATTTAACAAAAATGAAACCCTACAATATTGTGGCCAGCGCTTTCAGGGTAATATTTTCCGAGATATATCCATGTAGTAGCATGCATCTGTATTCTATTTTATGGCCAAATAATATTCCCTTGTATGAACACACCCTATCTTATTTACTCAATTAGTTGGTGGACATCTGTGTTTCTACTTTTTAGCTATTATGAGTAATGCTGCTAGAACATTCTAGTTTTCTCGCGGATGCATATTTCATTACTCTTAGGTATATACATACTTAGAAGTAGAATTGCTGGGTCAGTGGTAATGCTAGCCTTTCGAAGAACTGCCAGACTACCCGGGAGCTGCCCCATTTTAGAGGCCCCCCTCCCCATCCCCCAGCAGTGGTCCAATTTCTCCACATCCTCGTCAACACATACTGGGCTTTCTGAAATCCGGGTACTCCAGCCTTCAAAGGTTCCGGTTCTCGGATCCCAGCAAGAGAGCTTCAGGGACCAAATCCTGACGGCGCAAGCGCGCTGACGAGCAGGCCCGGGGCCGGAGGCGGGGCCATGCAGCGGTTAGGGGCGGGGGTTGCCCTGCGTGACTGCGTGCGCGCCCCGGAACCGGAAGCCAGGGCCCGCTTCCGGGCGGCTGATTCGAGGACTTGTTTTGTCACAAGCCGAGCCTCTCTGAAGAGCGCTCTTAGAGCGGGCCATGCCGTCCGAGGGTCGCTGCTGGGAGACCCTGCAGGCGCTGCGCAGTTCCGAGAAAGGTCGCCTCTGCTACCACCGCGACTGGCTGCTGCGGGGCGAGGTGAGGGGGGGGCCCGGAGTTGGGCGGTGCCCTTCCGGCTGCTCGTCAAGGTACCTGCTGTTGCCTAGCCTCCGGCTCGGCGTGCGCGGTGAACTCGTGCGTTCTTTCCAACAGCGCGCATTAGTTTCTTGATTCTTGTGTGTGCATCACCCCGTCCCAGAGTTACTGCCCTCTCCTGCCTATTCTGGCCTTTCAGGGAGCTCCCATAGTCTTAAAGGTGCTCTACTCTCTAAAGGCTTCGTCGCTGCCCCCACCGCCAGCCGTGTTGTCTAAGCAACCCATTCAGTGTCAGTTGACTTACTGCACGTCTCTTGTGCTGCGAGGTCCAGATTTAGTGGTGAACGATGAATATGGCCCAGCCTGTTGAAAAGACCAAAATCTTAGATGACGTTGGGTGGACTTGGAAAGTTGGATGGGGGCGTGGTCACTATTGAGGTTTTGCAAAGCCGTATACTAGACCACAGGAAGGCGGGGGTGTAGACAGGTTAAGGCCGAGACAGTACCATGCTGGTAATTAACTACAGGTAGTATGCTGTCCTGTCTCTTTAGACTTACATGGGAAACCGTTCTAAAAGCATTTCCCTGTCTTTTCTGTTTCTGACAGTTTTAGGGAATACACACCTTACATTCTGTAGGATGAACCCTAGCATGGGTCTGTCTGACGTAGACTCACCTTATGCATTTTTGGCAGGGATCCCATAGAAGTGATGCTGTGTTCTCAGTCATATACCTCAACCTCCCCCAACACTGGCGATGCTAACCTTGATCACTTGGTCGCATTGTCATCTGCCAGATAGCTGCACTTAATATTCACTATTTTTCCTTTAGAGGCCGATTAGTATCTTGTGGGGAGGTAATCCAGGATCACATCAATATCCTTTTCCTTGTCAAACCTCCACCGTTGGCATTCATTATTTCTGCCCGAATCAGTCTCCCTTGTGAGGGACCCGAATGGCATTTCCTTAATGTCAGCCGTTCCTTCTGTGTTTGCGAGTTGGCATTGTCCTGTAAGGAAGAGCTTTCTTTTCTCCCCTGTTCAATTATTGGTATCATTATTTACTCATGGGTTACTGTTTTGTGAGTTGTAATCTATTACTTGTAACCTTGCGTGTGAATATTTGCATTCTGTGGGAAGTGTGTCTTCAGGGTAAGCTCTGAGAATTGAGATTGTTGGGTCAAGGATAAACAGATGTCTCCCCACCCCCCCAACAGATGTATCAGATTGCCTCCAGGCAGCAATGCCTGATCTCGCCTTTTTGCCCACTGCTTTATCAACAGAATGTATTATTATACTTTTAATTTTTGCTTTTCAAATAGGTGAGAATGAGATCTCAGGATGGTTTTGCAATGCCTTTCTCTTTTTATTGAGATTGAACTTTTTTTTTTCATATATTTGAGAGCCAATTTTATAGCATTTTATTTTATTTTTTTTAAGTAGGCTTCCAATGTGGGGCTCGAACTCATGACCCTAATGTCAAGAGTTGCACACTCTACCAGCTGAGCCAGCCAGGTGCCCCTCGAGCCAATCTTATATCTATGTGAATTGACAGCTTATGTCTTTTGCTATTTGTAGTTTTCTTTTTTTTTTCCTTTTTTTAATTTAAAAAAATTTCTAATGTTTATTTTTGAGAGAGAGAAAGCACGTGTGCAAGTGGGGGAGTGGCAGAGATAGAGGGAGACACAGAATCCGAAGGAGACTCCAGGCTCCCAGCTGTGAGCACAGAGCCCAATATGGGGCTTGAACTCACAAACCTCGAGATCATGACCTGAGCTGAAGTCAGACGATTAACCCACTGAGCCACCCAGGTGCCCCGCTACTTGTGTTTTTCTTTTGGAGTGTTTTTCCCCCCAGATTTTACAAGTTCTTTATGTATCAAGGATAACAATAGCCCTTTATCTGTGACTTATATTGCATATATTTTTTTCTAGTTTGTCAGTTGAAATTTTTTCTGTTTATGGTGGTTTTTTTTCTTTTGATTTTTTATTTTAAGTAGCCTCCACGCCCAACGTGGGGCTTGAACTCATGACTCTGAGATCAGGAGTCGCATGCTCTATGGACTGAGCCAGCCAGGCACCCCTGTTTATGGTTTTTTGGGTATGGTAGTTTTATTTTTTTACATTTGAATCTTTAGCCCTGGAATATATTTTGGTGTAAGGAATGAGAAAAAAAGGCATGGTCTCAACGTTAATTATGTTTGAAAATAAATTTCATTACTTCATAAAGTGTGCATATAACCTGTTTGCTTCTGTGCCCGTACTCTTCTCCATAGGTTGAATGTCTGTTTATTGCACGTTTATTGGATGTGTGCCTGCGATCTAGATCAGTATTTCTCAGCTGCGGCATTACTGGTATTTGGGGCTGGGCTGGACTTCTGTGTCATGAGGGGCTGCTGGTGCTTTCCTGCGTTGTAGGATGTTTAATAGCATTCCTGGCTTCCACCCACTAGATGCCAATAGCACCCTCCCAGTTGGGACAACAGAAAGTGTTTCCAGGGGCACCTGGGTGGCTCAGTCGGTTAAGCAGCTTTCTCCAGCTCAGGTCATGATCTCACAGTGTGTGAGTTTGAGCTCTGTGTTGGGCTCTTTGCTAAGAGTTCAGAGCCTGGAGCCTGCTTCAGATTCTGTGTCTCCTTCTCTCTCTGCCCCTTCCCCACTCGCTCTCTGTCTCTCTCTTTCTTGCTTAAAAATAAATAACAAAAAAATTTTTTTTTAAAGGATAGGAATCAGGGTCAGTACCAAGAAACTACTTTCTCTTCATCTCTAATTGTTAATACAGTTAGTTTAGGTCTTTGATTGTATGTATGTATTTATTTAGGCCTTAGATTTTCAGTGAGGCAGGTAGTGGCTTATAAGGACAAAATTATTTTTGATTGCTTAGATCAGTTAACATGCAAGTGGGGCTTCACCCTCTTCTCTCTAGGATGTTTTAGAAGAATGTATGTCTGTTCCCAAGCTGTCTACGTACTCCGGATGGGTGGTAGACCATGTCTTACCTCACATGCAAGAGAATCCATCATCCTCTGAGACTTCAGAATCCTCTAGATCCGCTTCAGACCTTGGACAACCTTCATGTGTTCCCAAATCTCCCGTCAGAACCCCCGCCTTCTCACCAGCTTCTTCAGCAACACCAGAGGGAGCCGAGGTAAGGTTTTCGATTAGCTTCAGCATGGAGGCCCCGGTGGCTGAGAAGTTGAAGTGGTTAAGGGGCCCCTGACTGGCTCATGTGGGAGGGCATGTGATTCTTGCTCTCTGAGTTGTGAGTTCAGGCCCCATATCAGGCTTAGAGATTACTCAAAAATAAAAATCTTGGGGCATCTGGGTGGCTCAGTTGGTTAATCATCTAACTCTTGATTTCAGCTCAGATCATGATCTTGGGATTGTGAGGTTGAGCCCTACGTTCAATGCTGCACTGATGGCATAGACCCTGCTTGTGATTCTTTCTCTCCCTCTCTCTGCCCCTCCCCTGCACACACTCTCTCTCAAAATAAATTTAAAAAATAAAAAACATAAATAAAAATCTTAAAAATAAAAAACAAGTTTAAGTGTGGAACATTGTCATACAACAGTGACCTGACCCTGGGGAAAATAATGGTGGCTCCTTCTTGTAGCTGTTTTAATGATGCCCTTTACTACAGCACAGTGTTCCCTTTATGAAGAGCAGAGAGGGGTTCCCCTCTATTCTTAGTAACAATAATAGTAATGAATTTCATGAGCAGTTGGACTGTTTGTTTTTTTTTTTAGGAACATCGCATGCATTTAACTAATAAGGTCTCCCTTTCTGTGTTGGCTGTTGGAGGCTTACAGCAAAGTTTATACTTGCTTTCTAGATGTATGTATCTTATCGTTGGTTCTGTAATTTATTAAAAAAAAAAAAAAGGCAAAAGCTTTTCTTGACTCTTATTTTGTCCCAGCCTTTGCTTGTTTCTCTTCCTTAAAAACAGTTAAGTTGTTACTGGTGCTGTTCTGTTCCTTCTTTCTCTTTTTTGGGACATGGTGAGTAATACTTCCAGAAGTAGTTAGTCTGTATACGAATATAAAGGAACCTACTGTATGATTCCATCCCTTTAACATTCTTGAAAAAAGAGCATTTATAGAGAGCACATTAGGGGTGTGAGGGCAGGTGTGGCATAGGAAGCCTGTGGTGGGGCAGGTCTGTACCGTGATTATGACGGCAGTTAGGCAGATCTACGTGTGAGATAAACTTGCACGGAACGATATGCATACACAAAACAATTCCTGCACAGCCGGCGAGATCTGAAGAAGCTCTGCGGCCTGTACCACCATCAGTTTACTGTTTTTGCTATTTTACTGTACTTGATGGCTCTTACTATTGGGGGCGATTGAGTGAAGAGTGCATCAGCCTCTCTACCTGTTTTCGCAACTTCTGTAGAATTAGAATGATTTTAATTATTTTTTATAGAGGTAAAAACCAATTTTTTAAAAATTTCTGTAAGTGCTTCCCAGTTCCGGTTCTGCAAACACTGTGACATGCGCACAGGCATCTTTCCCTCCGGAGGGCTCAGTCTCTTCATCTGTAAATCTGGTACTGGTCCAGATTGCTAATGTCCTCTCCAGGTAGAGAATTCCAACATTCTTGAGGTTTGGGTTTTTTGTTGTTGTTTGTTTTTTGTTTAATTTTTTAAATGTTTGTTTATTTTTGAGAGAGAGAGCGCGCGCGCACCCGCGCACATGAGTGGGGGAGGGGCAGAGAGACTAGGAGACACAGAATCCAGAGCAGGCTCCAGGCTCTGAGCTGTCAGCGCAGAGCCCAGTGTGGGGCTCGAACTCACAAACCATGAGATCGTGGCCTGAGCTGAGGTCGGATGCTTAACCGTCTGACTGACCCAGGCACCCCTCATACTTGAGGTTTAAATAAACTTTTAGATGGCTTTATATAATGAATTATTGTGTCATTTAGGAATTTTGGTTTTTAACAGAAACCCAGTTTAAACTAGCTTAAGCCCAACAAGAGGAAAAGGAATTAACTAATTAGCTCACATAACCAGGAAGTCTGTAAATGCATTTAGAATCGGTTAGATCCAGGCAGTATACTTTCTGCTTCTTTCTGCTTTACATTCTTTGTGACTTGATCCAGTGACCCAAACACAGGGCTCTGTCTGTATTCTCTCAATTCTGCTTAACTCTTCTTTCTTGGTTCCATTCTTCATATAGACTTTGTATGGCAAGATGGCCATTAGTAACCGTAGACACACATTTTCTTAGTTTAGCATCCTGAGAAGTAGAAGTCCTTCCCAGATAACTCCATCCGAAAAGTCTAGAATTGGGAATCTGGCCTAGCTTGGGACATAAACCTCATTCCTGAAGTAGACATTAGGTCACAGAGGCATAGAGTACTTTGATCAGTAGGCCGGTCACATGATTACCCCTGAGGAAGGAAGGTGGAAGAATTGGGGATATGGGTTGGGATGGCTCCATTCAAACCGCCTCAGCACAAATTGACTCCTTGTGGAGTCAATGGGGAAAAATTTGCTGGGCAGAACAAAACAAGGAAGCCAAAAAACCGACTAAAACAAACTAGGCAAAGAAATAAGTCATTTATTGGTTTGTATATTACATAACTTAAGTTATTCCCTTTACAAAGGAAAACGATGAGAACAAGATCAATATCACGAAAAGCACGCTGGTTCTAACCTACTTTGTTCTGTTGTTGTTCTTATGGGTTGCTGTTTATAGGTAGGGATGTGGTTTTCATCTAGAAGGGATAGCATTGACTTTACCATCCTAAGTGCTTAATTTTTCTGTTTTCTGTCTGTCCAGGCCAAACACGAGTCCCAGCACGCAGAACCTATGGCTCTTCAGTCCTCGCGGGGGGTCAGAGTGGAAGGCTGCATCCGGATGTATGAGCTGGTGCACAGAATGAGAGGAACAGTAAGTGACGCATGGAGTAGGGCAGGCTTGGCCGAAGGCAGCCGCATTTAAATGCAGTTCTTTAGGCATTATGGATGACCGCCTTGTGCCAATCATTGTGCCCCACGGACTAGTAGCTCCTGATTCACTTGGGAAGAGAGTGTAACGTGGCATTTAAGAGTGAGCTCTCTGGAGCACGTGGGTGGCTTAGTTAAGCATCCAATGTCAGCTCAGGTGAGGATCTCACAGTTTGTGGGTTTGAGCCCCACGTTGGGCTCTGAGCTGTCAGCACAGAGCCTGGAGTCTGCTTCAGATTCTGTGTCTCCCTCTCTCTCTCTCTTTGCCCCTTCCCTCTGCATTCTGTCTTTGTCTCTCAAAAATGAATAAACATTAAAAAAAAAAAAGAAAGAAAAAAAAAAAGAAAGTGAATGAGCTCTCTGAAGGAAGATGGGGTTCACATCCTAGCTCTTCCATTTTGCAAATGACTTTGAGACAATTCCTTAGGCTCTCCTGGCTTCCATTTACTTCTCCAGAATTTGAAGATGATCTGGGGTGGTCAGATAAGGTTATACTGAGAAGATGGATCTTAACAGCCTCTTGAAGAAAGACTAACTGTTTTAATAATTTATTTGACTTTATTATTTTTTTTTTCATGCTTTTCCAATAAAAATTAGAAGGATTTTAGGGGCGCCTAGGTGGCTCAGTTGGTTAAGCGTCTAACTCTTAATTTCAGTTTGGGTCATGATCTCACGTTCATGAGTTCAAGCCCGGCACTGAACTCTGTCTCTTTCTCCCTCTCCCCTACGCTCTTGCTTTTAAAAAAAAAAAAAAAAAAAAAAGATTTTAATTCCCAGGTCTTTTGAGAAAGCAAAATTAATGCAACACAAATCAGAATGTCTAATTAATAAATTTAGCGACAAACCAAAGTAATTTTGTTACGAAAATGAACCCCTTTATTATAGGCTAGCAGTGTTTCAGTGGTGGAGCTTCTACTGGTCTTTCACCTCCTTCAGTCTGATGGCAGACTCTACTGTGATGGCAGAAGTGGCCGTGTGGCTCCAGGCATCCTTGGCTGCCGTTCTCACGCAGGCACCGCGATGCCAGATCCCCGCAGCTTGTCTTCTCATCTTGGTTTTGCCACAGGAGGAGCACGTGGACTTGGCCTGCTGGCCTGTCTCAGTCTTCTTCACCATTTTCCTGAGAGAGGCACAGTAATGGGTCCCGTGTTTACGGAGGATTCCAACCATCTTGGTGCCTTTAGCCATGTTGCCTACGCCTGCTCCCAGGGAACTGACTTTATGATTTTGTAATTAGAAAACCAGTGCGTGGTTTTGTAAAAATTTCCACAGATCGTGTGAGTTCATAAAGTGAATGTCTCCTTCTAGCATCTACCCTCATTCAGTCATTCGTTGAGTCAACAAATAGTTACTGAGCACTTATGTGCTTATTGAGCACTTAGATGCTATTCTGGGTCTAGATAAAACAGGGAGCGATGTGGACACGAATTCGGGCCTTCCCAGAGCTTGTGTACCGGTGAGGAGCCTTCGACGTAAACGAGAGAAATAAGTAAGATGTAGGGAGAAGACTGCTGTCCCCGTGAGGGAAAGGGGATGGTTGCTTCCCCCTGGGTGCTGCTGTGCGGACGGGGAGGACCGCTCAGGTCCTGGTCCGAGGAGGCCTTTTCAGCTGAAGACGACAATGTCCTTCATCTTCGGGAAGCTTTTCCCCTTTGATTAATTTCTCTTCCTCTCCGTTGCCTTTTTTCTCTCAATTTGCGAACTTTTATTGGCTATTGGATCTTCCAGGTTAATTTCCTATTTCTCTTATCCTTTCTCTCATTTTTGTTTTGTCTTTTTCTGTTTTCCAAAAGGTTTAATTTTTATCCTTCCTTTGTTCATTGAAAAATATGTATATACCTATTTTTTTTAATTATGTGTTTAATTTTCACGGGCTTTTCCTTCTTCTCCACTTGTCCTTTTTTCAGAGCATTTCATTCTCATTTCATATCGTATTGTTCCTTTTTCAGAGCATTTCATTTTCATTTCATATCGTACTGAAGTTCTTTTTCAGATTTAATTGTGTTCTTTGAAATAATCTGTTTTCTCTAGATTCATTATTCTAGGGTATAGAATTTTCTCAAATATCTAATGACCGTTATTTACCAGTGGTTGGACCAGGGCTTCCAGGTGTCTTGTCAGGAACAGCATTATTATGATTTTGGACTTCTGAAGTGTCAGAATTCCTAGGGTATATGTTCTGGTATACCAGCCTCCACACTAGCTGACCCAGTTATCTCTGGGTAACTTACTCATTTTCTCATAGGAAAGAGCGCTGTTTTTTGGCTGGGAGTGTGCATGAGCTGCTGTAGTAAATTGCCCTTAGACTGTGGCTCGCAGCACTACTGACCTCTCATCACTGTCCTTCATGCTTCTGGAGGTCGACCCGTTCAACTAGGTGGTTCTCACTTGGGGTCTCTGATTGCAGTGACTGGGCCTGGAGTTCTTTCGGAGGCTCCCTCACTGACCCGTGTCGCCGTTGAAGTTGGTCATTAGCAGGAGCATCTGTCCTCTCCGTGTGGCTGGGCTTCCTCGTAGCATGGAGGCCGGGTTCCAATAGCGAGCATCGCAAGACCTACTGGCCGAGCTGCACGGCCTGTCCCAGTGCAGTCTCAGAAATCGTGTAATGTTACTACCCTTCCCCACATACTCTTAGTCAAGGCGGTCATGAGGGCTGGCTCCGGTCGAAGTGGAGGAGATGGGAGGGTGTCAGAGAATGTGCAGCAGTCTCTTTCACGTGCTCTCTCTCTCTCTTTTTTAAGTTTATTTATTTAGTTAGAGAGAAAGAGAGCATGCAAGCAGGGGGAAGGGAGAGAGAGAGAAAATCCCAAACAGACTCTACCCTGTCAGCATGGAGCCTGATGTGGGGCTCAAACGTACTGTCAGATCATGACCTGAGCTGAGATCAAGAGTCAGATGCTTAATTGATTGAGCCACCCAGGTGCCCATGTGCAGATCTCTTTTTTAACCATTACACAGTACACAACAGTAAAAACAAATCAAGTACAGAATGGACAAAAGACAGAGATACTTTATACCAAAGGTACAAAGAAGCACATGAAAAGAGGTTTTCAGTTTATCTTGTAGGAGAGTGCCACTTGGGGAGGGACAGAGAGAGAAGGGGACAGAGGATCCGAAGTGGGCTATGTGCTGACAGCAGACAGCTCGATGCACAACTCATGAACCAGGAGATCATGACCTGAGCCAAAGTCAGACACTTAATTGACTGAGCCACCCAGGCACCCCAAAAACATGTTTTTAAAAAATCATTACAGGGGTGCCTGGGTGGCTCAGTCAGTTAGGCGTCTGACTTTGGCTCATGATTTCACGGTTCGTGGGTTCGAGCCCTGCGTCGGGCTCTGTGCTGACAGCTAGCTCAGAGCCTGGAGCCTGCTTTGGATTGTGTGTCTTCCTCTCTTTCTGACCTTCCCCTGCTCATACTGTCTCTCAGAAATAAATAAAACATTAAAAAAAATTTTTTTTTAAATCATTACAACATCCAAGCCTGGCTACTGACTCTTCTCATGATTTGGGGGGTGGTGGAGAATTGATTGTTTTGTCCACAAACATTCAGCTGATCTTTCTGTTTTCAGCCCCATGAACCCCACCTGATTCAGACCTGGCATTGCCCAGTCCTCTTTGAGGTTCTGGTAGCTTGGTTCTCTCTCTCAGAGATGTAGTCCACTTGTGAGTGCGTGTGTGCATGCGCTCTCACGTTTGCCCAGCTCTGCTGTCAGTCCACACTCCTTCACAGAAACTTTGTCTTCCAGAAGCATGGCCCAGATTTTTCCCTGCTGACAATCCCATGTGCTCTCTGCTCTTGGGTCCTTTTTCCCGTCCCAACTCCTATAACTCCACAACGTCCAACTTCAACAGAGTCTCAGAGGAGAGGTTATAGATGCTGTGTTCACTTTGCCTTCTTCCACTGGAAGCTTTAAAATAGAATAATATAACATCTTAACAATATATTTTGCCATGTCTTCCTGCCAGTATATGTAGCATCTCGTCCTCTGTAGAGGCTGCGGAGTGGTCTCTTAGTCTTACCTACCGTGATAGGTGCAGTCAATCCCCACTTAATGTAAATTGTTGTAAATTTACTGCCATCATCAGCAGGGCTGCAGTGAGCATCCTCGTTCATACATCTTTGCACACGCATGCGAATATTTCCTCGGGACAAATTCCTAAAATTAAACCAGTGTCAAAGGATATATATACCCTTTAAATTTTGGTAGTTAAAATGTCACATCTCCCTTAAAAACCAGATGAAAATACTCCCGAGAATAATAAATGAATACCTCGTACCCTTAGGAATCTAGGAAGGAGACTTTCCTAAGTGGAGGTGGGGGAGAAAATGTAGGCAGAAATGATAAGGTGAGAAAAGGAGTAGTTAGGACTGTGCATACCGTGTTTATGGAGAATTTCTGTTGATTACTCTGAAATCAGAGTACACAGGAAGGAGGCTCTTGGACATTACGTTGGCAAATACCTGTCCTGTCCCAGCTAATACTGGAGTGATGAATCACAGGGGGCAAATTGGAAGAGCTTTCCAAAACAGCTGAGTTTAAACATCCACTCAGAGGGCAGGGGCGACTTGAGCATAGTTTCTGAGAACTAGATAGCTGGTTCCATGCCCGGGAGTGTCTCTGATGGAATCAGGACAGACGGGAGGCTGTCCGTCGGTGCCGATGGAGCTGCAGAGAGCGGGGCTGATTCTTTCCAGGAGGGCCTGAGGCAGTGGCAAGAGGAACAGGAGAGGAAGGTGCGAGCCCTCTCTGAGATGGCCTCTGAACAACTGAAGCGCTTTGATGAACGGAAGGAACTGAAACATCATAAAGAATTCCAGGACTTACGGGAAGTGATGGAGAAGAGGTGAGCGGGAATGTCGGGCTGCTCAGCTGGCCCTCTTTCCCAGCATGAAACCCCAAGGGAAGCAGTTGGACTTCTTCCTAAATAACGAAATAAAATAGCCAGTGAAGCTCATAGTCTAGAACAATGACCAGCCTTGGAGAGGTGACCAGTGTATCACAAGGAGAGAGGGAGGCTTTTGGGAGAGGTGACGTAAGACCGATTCACAAAGCCTCCCTGACCATTCTGCCGTTTTTCCTGCAGCTCCAGAGAAGCCCTGGGCCACCAAGAGAAGCTGAAAGCTGAGCATCGGCACAGAGCCAAGGTCAGAGCCTTGGAGAATTCCTGTGGATGTGTCCACATCTGGCTCTTACCTGGGTCCTCCCTTCCTGTGACTCACCTTGGGCTGTCCTTTAACTGCTGGGGGTGGGGGGCTGTCAGTAAAATATGTAGCCCACTTAGGGTTTGGGGGATGTAGAATCAGAAGGCCCAGGGCACCTCGGAGAGAGGTAGCCGGACCCCCCCCCCCCCAGTAGATTCTCAACCTGAAGCTGCGGGAGGCCGAGCAGCAGCGCCTGAAGCAGGCGGAGCAGGAGCGGCTGCGGAGGGAAGAGGGCCAGCTCCGCCTGCGGGGCCTCTACGGGCTGCAGGAGGAGGTGCTGCACCTCAACCAGCAGCTGGACGCCTCTGAGCAGCACAAGGACGCGCTCAAGGAGGACCTGTCCGCCTTCCGGACCCGCGGCAACCAGCTGTGCGGCCTCGTCTCGGGGATCATTCGGGCCACTTCCGAGGTGAGCAAGCTTCCAGGAACCTGGTCTTCTGGCTTGGAAATGGAGAACCTTAAATGCAAGTTTTCTGACTTAAAAGTAGTGCCTGAAAAAAAAATGCTTATTGTAGAAAATAGCAAGATCATTTGTTAGAGATGATACTCACTGTTGGCATTTTCTCTGTCTTCCCCGACAAAGAGTGTGCGTGTGGGGGGGTTTCCCCACCCCAGACTGGACTCTTACACATCCAGAGACTTTTATCTTTGGTTAAACAAATAATTGTTTATTCTGATTGCAAAATACTTTAGTTCATTCGGTAATATTCTGTTGAACACCTGGTGTGCTATGGTAAAAAATTAAAACCTTACAGCAATGTATAATATAGCTCTTTTCCAGTTAACGTTGTATTTTGAACATATAATTACTGTAATCACTAAAAATATTCTGATGTTTTTTGTTTTTTAAAAAAAAATTTTTAATTTTTTTTTTTATTTATTTCTAGGAGAGAGAAAGAGAGACAGCGTGAGCAGGGGAGGGTCAGAGAGAGAGGGAGTCACAGACTCTGAAACAGGCTCCAGGCTCTGAGCTGGCTGTCAG